TTTACACGTGAATTGGAAGCCATAAGCTATGAGGAGCAAAATTGACTGATGACCCTCTTTAAACAATAGCTTGTGGAATCCCCTCTTGCATCCACATCGATCCTGTTTGCATAAGGAGGTGGGGGGATTTTCCAGGATACACAACAGTATGTGTCTGTGCCCTGGAAATGACTGCATGTGCGAATAGCATTGTTAGTATGCATGAGCTTACTGAAATCTTCCATATAAAAGGTCAGATCATGCACTCCTTGAAGCCCAAGAGAACTTGAATGTGTATTCGATAAGGGCGTAGGTGATTAAAATCTAGTGTGGACTATAGAGAAAAATTTTCCTTAGCTTTTCTTTGCCCCTTGCCATAATTTCACACTAGGAAAAATCTAGGGAACTGTAGTATCAAAAACTATTGCAAAATAGCATAAACTGTCTGACACAAACCGACAGAAGCATTGACATTTTGCACGTGGGACCATTCCAACTTCAGATCGTCATACTCCTGCCATGTGCGCCGCCTGACTTGGGCAAAGCACCGAGAGTGTGAGGTGTAGTAGAGTAGCCCTAGTTTTACCATTCCCATACATTTGTTAGATTTGGTCATCTTATTGATCTCCTTCTTCATAAAGATTTCATAAAGAATCTGGGGTTGAAAATATTGTGGGCTTGTATGTTGGGGGGGTGGTTTAGCTGGTCTTGGGGTTTCTGTGGCTGGAAAATATTATCTTCTGTCAGCTGGAATAGGGCCATTATGAGAGACAGGATAGGGTGCTAGATGGACCTGTGGTCTGACCCAGGGTGACATTATGGGCCTGGAGAGCTAAATTCTGAGGGAGATTTAGGAACTAGGCTTCCTGGAGACATAGATAAAGCATCCTCCAGTTTATTAAGCAGCACATTAGGATTCAGGGTGTCACAGCAGAAATACTAGAAATGTACAGAATTCATATTAGAGTTGAACAATTTTGTGGCAAATTAGGACCGTTCTAGTTTATGTTGGTCACCCCCGCAGCTCTAGAAGCACGTGTGCTGAAGGTGAATTATTATAGGGCCTCTGAGCCATGGATAAGCCATTCTGATTCCATCGATTTAGTGGCCTGCGGATTAGCTAGTTCAGTGCTGGGCCTGATTTGGATCGCCGCTAAACCAGAATTAATCAAGGATAACCTGAAAAGGTCAATGGAATTACACCACTATGCCTGACCTCTGCCAGGGGCCAGTTTGGGGAAGGACAAAGAAGAAAACCCATTCCCCTCCCCGGCCTGATCTTTTTAAGGGGGTGTGCTCCTCTGAGTGTGATGGCCACAACTAAAACTTGCCTTTTTGTAGACAGGGGTAGAAAAGGGCTAGAAAATGCTCAACTGTTTGTACAAGGCCTGCGCATCCCCCCACTGTGTGTGTTTCATAGATTCATAGATGTTAGGGTCAGAAGGGACCTCGATAAATCATCGAGTCTGAGATAGACAGGAAAGAGCTCTGGGGTCAGATGACCCTGGCCAGATGCCTATCCAGCCTCTCTTAAAGACCCCAAGGTAGGGGAGAGCACCACCTCCCTTGGAAGCCCATGTTCCTCTCATTGCCTCAAAGACTTAGGGACATGTAGGGTTAACTACATCTATAGGCTATCATTCCCATTTCCCAGACTGTGAGACTGAAGTATGGTCAGGCTAAGTGAGGAGCTTAAGGTCACAAAGGAAAGCTGTTGCAGAGCAGTGCTTGGTTGCCAAGTCTTAGTTTCATAGTTTCATAGTTTCTAGGGTCGGAAGGGACCTGAGCAGATCATCTAGTCCGACCCCCTGCCATGGCAGGAAAGAGTACTGGGGTCAAATGACCCCAGCAAGGTGTTCATCCAGCCTCCTCTTAAAACCCCCCAGGGTAGGAGCCAGCACCACCTCTCTTGCAAGTTGGTTCCAGATCCTAGCCGCCCTGACCGTGAAG